CAAATTACGTAATGCTGCGTAGACTCAGAATAAAAGAGACTTTATTTGTTTATGCTCCTATATTCAAAAAACCCAGAAGGGCATTTTGCAAACCCCTGTTCAATTAATTTCCACAAATCTTCCTTAAATAAAAATGGAAGTTAAGCCATAAATTTCTGGCATATGATTTTACTCAACGACAATATGCAAATTTTATTTCAAAGTATTAGAAAAATACCTCATTCACAACATATGAACAAAGAACACTGCCATATAACATAAAACCAGAGTTAGATAGTATTAAATAGACATGCTGCATTTTCTTTTAACGCCCTCCTCAGGAAAAGAAAGCTGTGGAAACTTGCTGATCAAAAGTATATTTATCTTATACCCGGACAAGAGTAAAATAAGACATACAATCATAAAATAGATTAGGGTAAAGAAGCCACTGCAGTTCAAAGTTTTTAACCTTACTGCATCCCAAGCACAGTATAAAAATGGAGCTGGCCTAGGCAGGGTGGGTGGGCATGCCACAAACCGTCTTCGCCACCCCGCTGCTCCCAACAAGGATCATTAACCTGCCTCTGACAGAATTTTGCCTAACTCATTCCCAGAATCACCAACAGGGATGCTGCAGCATCTCTAATCAATCAGCTGCTGTCCTTCACTAACCTTACATTTATAATGGTTTCCCTAATGTCTAATTTAAATCTCCCTCACTACCATTAAAAAGCATTATTATTCTTTTCCTGTACCCCACAGACAAAGAGGACAGTTTATTACTTTCCTCTTCACATCAACCTCTCATGTATTTGAATCTCAAATCTTTTTTTCAACAGACTAATTCTTTAAAATTGTGGGTTTGGGTAAAGTTTTCTAGGATGATGGTCCTCCTGGCTGATCTTACTTCAGTCTTGCATGAAAGTCATGGATCATCTAAAGTATAATAAGGAATTACATACACACTGTTAACTTCCACAGAGCTATCCTCTCCACTGCCAACATACACAAATGGTATTTGCTTACTGCACTTAACACTTGCTGAGTGCTGCTGTTCTTCAACTAAAAATGTCCCTCAGCACTTTTTTCTAATAAAACTATCGAATGGGCAATAAAGACAAACATCTGTCTAATTTAAAATCATTTGAACCAAAAAAAGCCCAAACCCCAAATCTCATTAATTTAAATTTTGCACTCTATTTTGCGGTATGACCTACCCTTGCATCATTACATCACCTATCCAAGGCATATTGTTCCTAAAAGGTATTATTTCATTAACTAAGTACTTAATAGGTTGACAGACATTTCACATACACCCATTCTGAGTTGCTATGCAAAATCAGGGGCACAAAACTAAACATTATGTGTTCATACACTCAAAAAAAGGTAAATCCACTAAGCAAGAAATAAATGCAATATATTATGAAGATAATTAGTTCCTTTTCAAAGAGGTGACTATAAGTGAGCTATAAACAACAGGGGTGTTCTAGATTGGAGGGATTCTCTTGCTTCTCATATCTCACACAGGTTAGGTGTCATTGTTTCCCTGGCTCTTGTTAAACATTACCAGGTAAACTTGATAGCCAGTGTTCCTAAGGCAGGGCTGCTGGAGCATTGAATCTAAATCACCAAAATAAAAGTGATTACACATTAATCATAGGTGATTCCTTAGTGTTAATTTTGAACTACATTTTTTAATTATGTCATCCATCATTAAATGAAACACTGAGCCTCTGACTGCGTACCCTTCACCTATGTGATTAGCAACAGTGGGTTTTTTTCCTCACTGAAGCAATACTACTCTATTTTGATAATTCTCCCAAGTATTTTACCATACCATATTGCCATCACTGTGACATTAGCAGAGCACAAGCACTCTTACTAGTCAAAGCTACCCAGGAAGCCTTAGCAGATGTACTACAAAATAGAAATGTACGTATGAGACAACACATTCCAAGTAGGTTTGCCATTCTGTGGCACTAAACATTTCCAACCACTTATCAACTGTAGAGTTGCTATTTGCATTTTGTACTCTATACATGAAAGCCTTACAGCTGCCTGTGGCAACAAAGGAAATGCAAAACTTGTTGGAAGAAAATAAATAAAATAAAACCATTTCCTACGGGACAATTCAAAGTCTCACCTCATCATCCTGAGACATCAGGGATTCTGTACTGCCTCTGTTTTTTATTAATAATGCAGCAACAGTCTTTCAACCACTCTTTCAGAAGACGAGCTTTTCCTTCTGAGGCAATATGAGTCATGTGATTACCTCTCTCATCTGGAGTCAAAGGCTAAAAACTGATGGAGGTTCTCACTATCAACTATCCTATAATTTGGCACCCAGAGAAGCAGTAATAAATGAGTGTTTATCTACTCAATGGGGAATTTAATTTCACTCTCTGCCCCCAAAGTCATTACCTGCACAAGAGGAATGAGCAATGGAAATTTACAACATAATAAACTATTACAGGCTTACTGCTTAAACGGCATCTCAAAATCATTTTCTGCACCGGAAGCCATAAACAAACTATACTTCACAACATGAGAAGAGAAATTTGTTGATATGATGAAACAAAAGGCATTTACATCTCATAAGAGCAGAGAAGCATTTTATACTCCAGATAAACAATTTCTGCTGTTCTCAGTATTGTTTTCCTTGGTGAAAAAAAAAAAACCCAAACATTAAATAGTCCTCTTTTTTTTTTTCTTAGAAACCATTTTAATGAAAGAGTATCACTAAAAAAAATTTGTATGAGGTTTACTGTCTAAATGAAAGTTGAAAGACATTTTCTATCTCGTTGAACAAAGCTTATGTACTCAAAAGGGTAAGTAATATGAAAATATTGTTTAATTAACTTGGTATACCATATATTGCCAGTAAGCAAAGAAATAATATTTTTGGCATAATATCCAGTTAAAAGCATGCACAGAAAATTACTCTGAATGATAATTTATTTTTTTCTAGAATTGGCAGCTTACAAAGGAAGAAATGAAAATATTTGTAAATCAAATAGCACTGAAAATGGTATCCAGTCAGAAGTCATATTTTTATTAATCTTTTTTGTTAAGTGTATTGTGGTACCATTTTAAAACTAAGACATGAAAAGCTATCACAGTTCCAAGCAATACTTCTCCACTGCCTTAATCTTAACAACTAGCTTCTCATCAGTGTTATGCTTGTTGAAGCATGAAAAGCATAATATTTTTTTCCCTTTTTCACATTCGGTGGAGATATTTCAGTATAGAAATCTAGCATTATCTACTCCATTACTGATATCACTGAAGTAACTGTGTAGTCATCCTGTGATCCTATGCAAGAAAACACAGCAAGAACATTAGGTAGTCATTAAGGGAGCAACAGAAGCCACTTACATAAATTACGGTACCGTAATTCAAAAGAATATAAGGACAAGAGATGTTTGAAGCTTAAGCTTCTTTATTCTTCAAGCCTTGAAAGTATTACCTGCCCAAAACTTGGGAAAAAGACCACAAGGTAACTCCTTTTTAAGCTTAAGTGAATGAGTCAGTGTTTCTGTGTTTTCTAAAAAAAATTAATTTTTTTAAGCAGCTAAAATGGTATCTACTGTTTCTTACTACTTTATAGTGACTGGACTAAGTAACTCCTTTAATGTTAAAACAGGCAAACATTATCAACATGCTTTTTTGTTCATTTGTTTTTTTAAGGCACAGAGGAAACTCAAAGTGAGAAGTACACAATCCTTTCTCTAACCAAAGGAAAGGAATTTCTTCTGAGAAAGTTTGGTTTAATGAAAATACTGTGTTTCCTTTCCTAAAACCTACCAACATGATAATTGACATGTTTTAATTTTTCTCCAACTATAAAAGTTAAAGTCCACTGAAAGGAACAGGCAGCTCCAGAAAATTTACAGTGGGAATCAAGTCCTCATCCCAGAGCTAGATGCAAGAGTCCCATAGCTTCCACCAATATGGCTGCTTTCAGTTACTGTGGAAGACTCACACCCTGGACTTTTACAGTCTTGTCTTCAGTTCAGAATAGCGACAATCAAATTATTTGACATTATTGAAATTATTTCTCAGGCAATAAAATAAGTTAATTAGATGTTTCTCTCCATGTATCAGTGGATAGTTTTCTCCACTGTGATGTTTACAGCTGGCATTCTCAGCAGAGGACTGAAAAAAATGAACAACCTTTCCGTGCAAAGCTCAGGGTGTTCCCACAGTATCAGCCTTTGTTTTCTGACTGTATAATGTGGAAATCTTTTTTTTTTTTCTTTCATTTTTTGTGCATATTTGTTTGACTAAAAGACTAGCGGATTTCAGTCTCTAGCTCCAAAGTATGCACTTTTCACTGACAATAAAATTTTAAAAGCTTCAGTTTGCACCTGAGCATAATTGTAATAGCTTAGAAACTATAAAAGAGCATAGTCAAGAAAAATATCAGAAGTGCTTATGAAGCGTGGCTTATATTTTATCAGAACTTGACTAATTGTTTACTAAAGTTTTATTTTTACCAATCACTGATGTTTGATTTATCAGAATACATTTATGCTTAACATCAGCATTCTCTCTCTGTGCTCTGCAGTATTGACTATCTGAAATGGGACATTTATTAAGAAGTCATCAGAAAGGCTGATCCTGGGAGATACAGGAAGATACAGTAGAAAGCAGGATAGATCAGACCTTTATCTTTGTTGCTGAGCCTGAAGATTTACTCTTGCCTTAAGACTCCAAAGAAGAGCAAAAGGAGTAGAAAAAACCCCAAAACTCTGATGTTATTTTCTTAATAATTATTTCAGGACACACTAATTAATCGTGCTCTGCCGAGAGAGAAGCAGACAACCTAAAATTCCAAAATCTTCAAATTAACTACAGGAATCAGAAGGCTGCATGCATTACAGAGGGCAAGCATTGACATTTATTTTGTATAATGGTGCATGTCTTGAGAATAATTGCCACTGGAATATTATCCCCACTCAACATGTCAAACATTAACACAAAATCAATATGGAGCCACATTCCCAACATTTTTCACGCACCTGTGTTACGCCCCCTTGAAGGGTTTTGCCACACTCAGCACTGGGCTCCCCTGAGACACGGGAAGAGGTTCACTGCAGTCCTCCTGCTCTGCACAACCTTGCTACCCAGGGGGTCAACAATGGCTCAGCAAGACCCTGACATCTGTGGAGGGAAAGTGCAAGGTGAGACAAAGATGATTTCTGGTAACTTTGCTGCTCTGTCAGCAAGTCCTGAGAAATAGGAAGCATAAAGGTTGTTTTCCACAATATAGACGACATCCTTGTTTGAAATGATACAGTTGGAGTTGCTTTGTGACAAGCTCAGTCTTAAGACGTGACAGAAATAAACCAACAAGAACAGCCATCTTGCCAAATACACTCAGACTCACACAAAAGCTGTATTTGATAGATCCCAAATTTTATTTTTTCCCCAAAAACATAGTTCTCTTTTGAGCTCATTATAAATTAAGTTTCTCTTCATTTTAGAGCTAAACTAGGTCTTTAACAGGCTCTGCACTTCAGTTTATCTCATAACGAGACATCACAAAAAAACAGAGTTAATCAAAAGTATCAAAATTATGAGGGAAGAAAATCCCAGAAAACCACATCACACTACTGTTTTCTTCAAACAGGCTGTAGCAGATCTCCCTCCTTGTTTACACTCTCATGGTACACTGCTCAGGCAGTTGTTTCTCAGTTAAACATCCCAAACTTGCCAGTCTCAGAGGAGCTTAATTTCCCCAGCCAATGTGCATCCCTGTGAGTCATTGGCACCTTTCAAACCCAGATTTGAGAAGATTCCTATATACATTAAAAGGGACTTGAGTTATAAGGGCGCAGTTCTAACACAATTCTTCTGGATCAGGTATTTGTACATAAACCTGTATATAGTCAGTATATATATATGTATATATATATATGTACATGTATATATATGTATATATATGTTATATGTGTGTATATATATATATATATGTATACAGTCAGAAAACTACAACAGTTGATCATCCTCAATTGAAATTACACCAGCTAAGGCCACTGTCTACTCCTTCTTGCTAATGTAACAAATCAGTTCTCCCAAATATGGTGATTCTAGTGCTCAGAAATACACTTGAATTCCCACCCGGTTCTTGTTCCTGAATATTTTGCTTTATGGAATGGAGCTCAGTTATTCCTTTCTTTTTCTCCCCTCAAGATTCCAAAGCTCAAGGAGAGCATTTTGCTGAGGCCCATGGAAGAAAACCACTGTTAATTTCCATGACACAGATGGGAAAAAGATCATAACCACAGCTCCTCACCATCACTGTCTGGAAAAGATACTACACTCAGTTATCACTGTCAGGATATTAGACATTATCTAGTCAAATAAGATCAGGGAGGGACTATTCAGAAAAGCAGTTCCTGCACACCTCGTTACTGAAGATGAGGAGGCAAACACGACCCCAGTATCATAGGAAACACATATGGCAATTTCTACTGCTTCTTCAAGAAATCCACATCACTTTACTGCTAAAACTTAAAGCCAAAAAAAGTTATTATCCTGGACCAACATATTTGTCTATTTTTTATAACAAGATTTTCAGAAGAAAAGGCATCTCTGTGGAGAGATTTGGTCTCATCTGTGAGTGCATACTGGCAGCAGATCCTCTATGGGGTTGCCAAGTGAACTCACAAACTTGTGAGAGCCCATGTAGCTTTTTGCCTTTGTTTCATAATACAACAGCTTTTACAATCAAGAACCCTACAGACGAACTAAGAAAGCCTAAGGCAAGTTTTGAACCTATTGATTTTGTGTTGTTGAGTCATAATACACGATGCAAAGTCATCTAAAACATGATACCATGCACCCACTTCCTTATCACATGAGATTTTTTCTGGTTTAACCAATGCTTGCGATGTTTCTGAAACCAGATTGCAACTTTTCCAAGATTTGAGAGTATCTTATGAATCTGTGCACAGACAAGTCTTTCCACCAACCACCGACATGCAGTTTTGCTCAGGATGGTCAGTAGAAGAGGGTGGGTGTAAGTTAGGGACCTACGACTAAACACGAGTTTGGCCAAAACCCCTTGCCATTACAAAAAGAGCCACGATGTCTTTTGTAATCAAGAGGATCCTGGATTACAGGTGCTTATGATAACAACCTCTACAGAAAAAGTCTCATCAGAGCCCATGTTATGAGCTTTATAATGGTGAAAGACCAAACAATCTCATCTTGGAATCAAACCCATGGTTGAAGACTATACAAACAAATCAAAAATCAATGCTTGGATGTAATTCTCCTTCAAAGGTCAACTTGAGAATGTAGCCTGCTGAAACACAGGCTTCCACACAGTGCTTTTAAAAAAACATGGTCAGAAAATGGAATATCTCAAGCAAAAAGTACTCTCTAATGAAAATAGGACATTTATATAGATACATGCAACGTTTAATTAAGAGAAATAATCACCACATCTTTATATCAGCCAAGGGTTTCAAAGTGATCAAAACTCCCCATATAAACCCTATTTATCCTGAGCTGAGAAGTTAGCTCTTTCTTACTGCTGAGTAAGAGGCATGGGAATTCCTCTGCAGTCTATCGAAAATATCATTTGTCTATGTACTGGTACCTATGTGAGTAAAAGAAAGCTATTGAAACAATTCAGCTAGTGTTAACTGGCTACAGCATAAAATTTTTTTGTCATGCATGAACAACAAATTATTCTTCTATCCCAATAAACAAGAAATACAAACTGTGGAAACAATTCCTCCAGTCTCATGGAATATGCATTAAAAGGTTCAACAAAAGTTATTATCTCAGACTGTACTTCTACTATTGCATTATTGATGAGCTACGTCTATTGGCATTTGTACTTCAGTTACCGGAAATTAAAGCAAATACTAAATGTCTAAATACAGCATGCCTAGAAAAAATACAAGGATTCCCTTGTCCAAAGTCCCAAAGGGATTTTCAGAACCTCACAGGTATCTTCAGGTCCTATAATTTGCATTCTGCTTCTCAGCTCAGCTTGCAGATGTTTAAAAATACATGCAACAAGACAATTCACTCTTGGCTACACATCTGAGAGGTTCAAACATCTGAATTATTCTGTCTGAGGTCAACTACAATTTATGTGCCAAATTAGGTTGAAATCGAGCTGGGAAGAGCTATGAAATACTAAGATCTCTGGTGCTTGGGAACTTGTGGCTATTTATGACCAATGCACATCCTCTCTGATCTTCTTCCAGGAAAAGGAGATATTTTCAGGAAACAAATATGAAATTTAAGCTTACAACTTGTGAATCTGTAGGTTTCAATCATTTAAATTTTGCTGTGGAAACAGATATAAAATGTGGATTAAAATAGCAAAATTTTGTAAGTGTTCATTGCTTTTTGGAATTCTAGAAGACAAACAGATGCACATGGCATCATGTGCATTTGCATGCCAACAAGATTTGCAATAAAGATAAAATCTATATCACTATACCCTTTAATATAATCAGAAAATATTTTCCAGGAGCTCAGGATCAAAGTATCTAAGAGATATATATCTAAGTGGTATAATTCCACCAAAATGTTCTTATACTGCATAGATACAGCATTAATTATATATATATATATATCTGTCTTAATATAATCCAGTTAGTTACCGAGAGAACTAATGTTCATCCCAAAATGTATGGACTACTTTTTGCACAATTCAAAATTGTGAACTAGTAACTCAAGTGACTCTTACTATTCATACTCTAAAATCATTTCCTACAAATTTCTGAATGATGGATGATATTTCCTATAACTATCTCCTGCAACATTTCAACACAATTAAGGTAGAGCTAAACAGAACTCAAGTGATTCTCCTCTTCAGGGATTCATGTTTAAGTTAATTCCCAACCCCCAGTCTAAAAGCAATCTTTGCTTTCTCTTCTCTTGGAACAGATAACACCAATATTTAAACTACTCTTGGGAAAGGACAACTTAAAACAGAATTATCCACAAAAATGCTAATGACATTAGCATTTTTTTCTTTACTACATATACTAAATTTCAAAGCCCGAGTAGGGATTTTAAGAATCTAAAGTAGTTATCAGCCTTTAGCACTGTTAATCTCTCTCCCACTCACCTCAGCCCATTCCCATCAGCCTCCCAGTCTTATCTCTACTTTTTCCAGGAACAGAGAATAGAAAAATGAAAGAACAGTGGGGAATGGGCCAAGATGCACTTGTAGATATTTCTTTTAGTACTGAAGAACTCAATAGCACAATTCTCTACGTGCCAGCCACATTTTTCAGAAATAATCATACTACCATAAATCTGGAACAAAAGCCTCAAATATGCTTTAACGAACTGATTCCAAAAATTTTCAAGATTTCCATCTATCAAGAAGTTACAGAAAAAAAATAATTAGTGTAAGAAGTGATTTCTGGTATTTTTTATTCCCTATTTATCTGAGATTAAATTTTAAAAAGATTTTATTCAACCAAAGTCCTCTATTTGCGCCAATATACAAAATTGAAAACAGAAAAAAAAATCCTTTGCAGGGAAAGAGAGTCAGAATCTACCAAATCTATCTTGTCTGACACAAAATTATGTGTGTAAAAAATGTGTGTAAAAATCTAGCTTGTTTTAGCACAAAATTAAGCTGCTTATGGTAACGTTTTAAGGAACACAAACGATCACAATAGAAATAGAGAACACTACAGCATGCAGTTTCTAGAAATATGAATGTGAAACCTCAGTTGGATCCATTCTGTAAGCTCAGAGTGCAATGATAACTACGTAATTCAATTCCTACACAAGACTTAGAGCTGCACAAAATGTAGAATACGCTATAAAAGATCCAACTTCCCTGATCACTACAGGTTCCTAATGACCACCTGTGTATTGCCTCCTTATGCAAATCAGAGCAAAGCCTGGATAATATAGTTTGAGAATTTATTTTCAGTGCAACCTTTAAAAAATGCAGAACATTGAAATAAGCATCTCCTATTTCAGGAGGAAAACTAACCTTGCAGGCCCCTAACCTGCAAGAATAGTCATGCCAGTACCCTGAATGCTGTCCTTGACCATGGCTAAGAGTAGACAGTTAAGGAAGAGTATAACTGTATGACATATTCCTCCTACTTTCTGGTTAAATTGGAGATTTAAACTTAACTTGAATGAGCAGAGTACATCAGGACAGTTAG